GTTCACGCAAGCCTCGAGAGCCAGCCCAGACCCGCTGGCTGTGGAATTAGATCCACCTTTCAGCGGAAGGGGTATCAAAGTATTTCTGGCTATATTTAATCTACCACAAAACCTTAACAGGAGGTTGTTGTTATCCTCTGTCTCATTGGATGAATGTACAGACATCTGAAGAAGTTTGTACATTTTTTTTTAAGTTTATTTTTGAGACAGAGAGAGAGAGAGAGAGAGAGAGACAGAGCACAAGCAGGGGAGAGGCAGAGGGAGGGGGAGACACAGAATCCGAAGCAGGCTCCAGGCTCTGAGCTGTCAGCACAGAGCCCGATGAGGGGCTTGAACTCAGCTGACAGAGCCCGATGAGGGGCTTGAACTCACGAACTGTGAGATTATGACCTGAGCCGAAGTCAGACGCTTAACCGACGGAGCCACCCAGGCACCCCAGTTTGTACATTTTTAAAAAGCTGAGACAGTCTTAATTTCTGCTTTTTTAAAAAATACAGATTGCCTTGGGTTTTTTTTTTTTTTTAACGTTTATTTATTTTTGAGAGAGAGACAGAGCATGAACGGGGGAGGGTCAGAGAGAGAGGGAGACACAGAATCAGAAGCAGGCTCCAGGCTCTGAGCCATCAGCCCAGAGCCCGACGCGGGGCTCGAACTCACTGACAGCGAGATTGTGACCTGAGCTGAAGTCGGACACTTAACCGACTGAGCCACCCAGGTGCCCCTCCTTGGTTTTTTTTTTTTTAAATTAAAGTTTTATTTACTTTGAGATAGCATGAATGGGGGAGGGGCGGGGGGGGGGGAAGAGAGGGAAAATCCCAAACAGGCCTTTCACTGTCAGTGCAGAGCCTGACGTAGGGCTCGAACTCCCAAATTGTGAGATCATGACCTGAGCTGAAGTCACAAACTTAACCAACAGAGCCACTCAGGTGCCCCATCTTGGTATTTTTAAATTTATTCTACATCAGGGAACTAAAGGAAACATGTAGAAGATTGTTAGATGAGCCAAAATAAACTCCCATCTACAAAGAACAGAACAACGGTCACATTGGCCTCCTTTTATTTGTAGATGGAGTTTATTACCAGAGAAGAGTGTCTGTCCAGCCACTTGACTGTTTCACAGACTTTCTGTACATTTGAGACCTCCCACGTCAATAGTTGGGATGGATATGCACGTATAAAACTGAGATCTGAGTAATCTCTGGAATGAATGACCTGTCCAGCCTGCCTGTGTTACGTGACATGTGGATTTGAGCTAACCAGGAGCTCTTAGTGCAGACATGCCATAGACAGAAAAGACTTTGCTCAGATGAGTTACAGAAAGAAGAGCACACACATTCTAATGTATTTTGTGTTCCTGTGCATATTTTGCAGGCTTAGAATTTTTAAGCTTCATCTTCTTAATGCAAGCAGAGAAAAATTCTCCACTTTTCACTTGGTCCTAACACTTTCATCTAACTAGTCTTTGTAGAATGCCAATTCTGCCATGTCATCTATCGTGTGTTTTCCCAGGAATCTGAACTTGATAGAACAGTGGGTGTAATTCCTGTCTATAAGATTCCATTAAACCAGTACCCATATTTTATGGCTCCCTTCCCCCTACTCAGAGTTAAGAAAGCATATGTGACATGTGGCAATGGGAGACGGAAGAATGGAGAGTTATTCACCGTTGAGATCAGTAAACTTGCTTGTGACCTCTGTGGCTCATGAGGCATTAGATTATAAAATTTACAATTTTATTAGTTTAATAAAAATTTAGATAGTTTCTAAACTTAGTCTAACTGCTATAAATGGTTTTATAGCATTGATGCATGCTGACATTTGTGTGGGGTGGGACTTAATTAGTAGGTATTTTGTGGGTTGATGAACTTATGTCCTTAGATAGAAACTCCAACTCCATTTTTCTCTCTAGGTTATTAAATAAGAGGCCTTTTCTTGGCTATTAAAGTGTGTAACTTGAGACTTCAAAAATGTGATCTTGATTGTGAAGCAAACTACTTTCTCATCGTTGTTTCAATATATTTGTGGAGGCAGCGTAATAAAATCATTTTAAACATAAAAAGAAAAAAAAAAAGAGGTTAGAGTGGGAGAGAGCCAAAGCATAAGAGACTCTGAAAAACTGAGAACAAACTGAGGGCTGATGGGGGTCAGAGGGAGGGGAGGGTGGGTGATGCGTATTGAAGAGGTCATCTTTTGGGATGAGCACTGGGTGTTGTATGGAAACCAATTTGACAATAAATTTCATATACTAAAAAAAAATAAAAAAATAAACATTTTTTATGTTCTATTGTGGTAAAATACATGGAGATAAAGTCTGCCATTTTAACACCTTTTTGAGTGTAGCATTAAGTCCATTCACATTATTGTGCAGACATCACCACTATCCATTCCCAGAACTTCTCTTTTATCCCAAACTGAACGTCTATATCCATTAAGCAACTATTCCTCTTCCCCTTTTTTTTACTCTAGGCCCTGGTAACCACTATTGCTTTTTTTTTTTTTAATGTTTATTTTGGAGGAGAGAGAAGGAGAGAGAGCCAGAGCAGGACCTGGGGAGGGGCAGACAGGGGGAGACAGAGAATCTGAAATAGGCTCTAGACTCTGAGCTGTCAGCATAGAGCCTGATGCAGGGCTCAAACCCATGAACTGTGAGATCATGACCTGAGCTGAAGTTGGATTAACCGATTGAGCCACCCAGGCATCCCTGCAGATAACCACTATTTCTACTTTGTCTCTGATTGTGACTATCCTAGGTACCTCATTTAAATGGCATTACACAATATTTGTCCTTTTGTGCCTGGCTTATTTCACTTAGCATAATGTCCTCAAGATTCATCCATGTTGTAACATGTATTTTTTAGGCTGAATAATACTCAGTTGTGAACATATGCCACATTTTGTTCATCTGTTCACCCGTCATTGGGCATTTGAGTTTTGACCTTTTGGCTATTGGGAGTGATGCCACTAGGAAAAAATCATTTGCTCAGGTTGTTGCTTTCAGTTCTTTTGAGTATACACCTAGGAGTGGAATTGCTGGATCATATGGTAACTCTGTTTAAGTTTTTGAGGGACTGCTGTGCTGTCTTCCACCACGGCCTCACTGTTTTTTTACATCCTTGCCAATAGCTGCTGTTTTCTGTGTTTTTGGATTATAGCCATCTTAATAGGTGTGAAGTGGTATCTCATTGTGGTTTTGATTGCATTTCCCACATGAAGATTGTTTTTTTGCATATTTTGCTTTTGTATTTGAAGGTGTTATTTTTAACTTATGAACCACATATGCGCAGTATAGAAAAATATTCTATAAAAGATGGTCAATGTACTCAACTAAACTTCTTCCAGCTAACACAGGTATTTGAGAGGATTACAGTGCTTTATTCATATCAATTTGTGAAGTCCTTAGAGCAGTGTTAGGCCAATGTGGTTTTAGTCCTTTGCAGTAAATGATTATATGGTCTGGAATAGGATATAGGTAAGTTTGTTGTTAGAAGAATTCCTGTGTCTGCCTTTTACTGTAATTTTGAAAATTGGTGAATGCCATCATGTTAAATGTTTTGGAAATTGGATGTTGACAAAGAGATCTTTGCTTTCCTTCTCATTAAGTGGTTCTGTAGAGACAAATACTTATTTCTTTGAGTTTCTACAGGAAGACAAACTATAAGGCTGAAGCTTAGCTCCCAGGAGTATCTGATGCGATGCTTTATTCCCAGAAATAGAGCTATAACCTGGCAGCCCAGACCCAGGGTCAGGCCAGCATGCAGGATTAGACAGCAGAACAAAATATTTTCAATTAGGATTCTTGGGAAGCGTAGGGTCTTCTCTTTACTTCATTTCTAAATTTACACAATTTTTATTTACAAATTTTTTTAATGTTTTTATTTATTTTTGAGAGAGAGAGAGAAAGAGAGCGAGCGAGCATGAATGGGGGAGAGGCAGAGAGAGAAGGAGTCACAGAATCTGAAGCAGGCTCCAGGTTCCAAGCTGTCAGCACAGAGCCGACGCGGGGCTTGAACTCATGAGCTGCGAAATCATGACCTGAGCTGAAGTTGGAGGCTCAACCAACTGAGCCACCCACGCGCCCCTACACAATTTTTAAAAATTACCATATATTATTTATTGCAGATTTATAGAATTGTAATTGTCTCTTGAAACTGAGGTGGTTTTGGTCTGAGTAGTACTTTGAGATTCCAAACGTGAAAGGGATAAGATGTGAATGGTGATAAAGAACTGTTAGTAAGGCTGTTTTATTTTTTGGCTTAATCAGTGTGTTGTGATAACAGTATATACGTGCCAGTGCGTTGGTTCTGGAGAGCTGTAAGGTTAGGAGGCCTCTCTGACTCCCAAGCAGCTGTTCTCCTTGGAGTAAAACTTCTTCCAGTTCACGGATGACCGTGATGGGCTGAGCAAACTCCGAGCACCCAGTCGCCGTTAGGTGGTTTAAACATTACTAATTTACTACAGTAAACTCACTGTACACATTCTTATTCAGAAAGATTTGGCAGATCTTGATAAATAACCTTTTGTAAAACTTTTCCCTACCAGAGCATCTTGTTAGATTATCACTAAAATCAAGCAGTGAATAAGAATTGCTTAGTAATTAATGTAAAAAATACAATTCCTGTATATGTGGAGGGTTAGCATAGAGGAGAGCATCTTTTATATGTGTTCCTTTGATTCTGGTCACTTTGGTTAGAATTGACATCGTTGGGAATTTTGAGTAACAACGTGCAATGTGTCCCAAGAAAACTGGGACAGTAAATAATTGATAGAATATTACTATTAAGTGAAAATAAGTGTTGATGCTTCTCTTTTTCCTTACCGGTGAATACCTTTTACAATTTGTGCCTTTCTGCCTTGACTGTGTAATCACCTATCTGGTCTCTAAAATTGCCGTGAAGATAGTTTCTGTTAAAAGCATAAGACTTGACTCTGGTTTATTTGGACGGAGTTGTCTGTTCTCAGTCTGTGGAGTGGATGAACACGTGCCCCTCTTTCTTCTCTAGAGTGACTCCGCTCACAGTGACTACCCGCAGAGTCATGAGGCCAGCGTGCTGGCACGAGCCCTGATACCTCACGACGGACTTCCTGCGGCGCCGCACAGAGCCCAGCGAGAAGGTAGGTTTTCTGTCGCCTTACCGGGGACGGCTGCAGAGCACTGTTTACGTTGGTTGACCCAACTCTTCTCCCTCTTTTTTTGGAGTAGAGAAATCTACAGGTCCTAGGTTTGGCTCAGACGCCCGGCCCCCACTTTTCTGAGTCTGCATCTGGGCTCCTGCTTTACAGCACTTGGCCCGGCCTGGCTTGTGCCGACCTGGTTCTCCCTTGTGGTCGGTTGCCTTAAGTCTAGTTGCACACTTCTGGAGGGCGGAATCCTTAATGTATTCCTAAAGTGTTTGGGAAAGTGCTTTATCTGGAGAATGTGCTCAGCATCTGCTGAAAAAAGAAATTTTACAGAAGTTCTCTGTTAGAAAGTGAAGCCATGTGTTACAAGTCTATGCTTCCTGCAGTAATGCAGTTTTCAGGAGGACCGGGATGGTGGCATTGGAAGGACGTTGTCATCTGTAAGGAAATGAGTTCAGATGCTCACTTCTCTTCATTTTTGGGAGTCCATTACCCTGGGCGAATAATTGTTGAGGGGAAAACAGAGATGGAAAGTGTATGTGCCACCTGGGCGGCCTCAGATGTGTACCTCACGCTCAGTTATAGCAGCTTAGAACGACATCATTTTGTCTTCTTCCAGTCCCATCAGTCATCTTTCTTGTGTTATACATTTTTCCTCATTCAGGAAAAACAGGTATGAATGTTTAATGTTTAAAAAAAGTTTATATAATTACCTATTCAGGGCCATTCAAGACCCTTAAACTACTTGACTCATAGATTCCTTCAACCAGCCCTGCTGCATCTGTGAGTAACCTAAAGCAGAGTTTGCTTTTACAACGAAGGTCTTTTTCTTCTTTTTTTAATAAAAATGTTTTAGAAAAACAAAAGACTACATCCAAATGCTGACAACCGTAAGGTAGTACTATAGGTGACTTTTCTTATGTTCTTTATTTTTAAACAAATGTGTGTACTCTGTGCTTCTTAGTTTTAATTTATGAGGGTTGGAGGGTCTCCTGTTACCAGCCATTCCCCACCGTACTTCATCTCCCTCCTGTTGATTCCGATCGGTCATGACAGGGGTAACTTGAGACCAAGGCCGAAGACCCAGCCACGTTCCCTTACACATAATGCCCTAGTGGTCCCCTGCCCCTTACTTATTAGCCCGCCAGTTTGCAGAAGTGGAGCTGCTTTGTATTTCTGAATGTAGATTAGTTCAGACGGTTTTTCTTAAATAGCATCGTCCCTCATGGAAGGTAGCAGGAAAGCTGTTGAAAGTGGCAGACCCTCCTCTCCCCCACTTAGCCGCTGTTGTGCTGCCTCTGGTCAGGAGTTGTGGGCGTCTCACCTGGCTTTTGAGATTTTCTTGCCCACGGCGGCGGGGGTTGGGAATTATCCCAGAAGCGGCCATCAGACACTATATATTTGGAAGGTTGGCACAAAATACTGGTAATGGTATCTCCTCGGTCTGTTATGAATGCTTACCAGCGAATTTCTGTATCTTATGTTTCATTGCCCGCAGTCCCTGATCTAGAACAATCTTCATTCTTCCTGTATACTTCTGTTACTTTCTGTCTTCTGCTTCATCTATTTTAGCTTCTTCCTCTCCAAGTAAATCCCTTCCTTTCCTTCTCCATCTCCCGACCCCTGAATTTAACAGGACCCCAGTCTGTGGAGTCACTCTCCTGACTTCTTCCCTGTGACCTTTATCTTGTTCATTACTGCCAGTCTCATTATTGCTTAAGTGCTGTTTCTTCTATTTATACCCTGAGCAACAGTTTTTTTTTCCTTCCCTTAAGTCCTTATATTATGGTTAGTAGACTGGCTCTCTTCAATTTGTAAAGAGATTTACTTCCTGAAAGATGATGTTTTCGTTATTTATTTATTTATTTTTTTAATTAAAAAAATTTTTTTAATGTTTATTTTTGAGAGAGAGAGAAAGAGAGAGAGTGCGTGAATGGGAGAGGGGCAGAGAGAGAGGGAGACAGCAGGCTCCAGGCTCTGAGCTGTCAGCACAGAGCCTGATGTGGGGCTCGAACCCATGAACTGTGAGGTCATGACCTGAGACGAAGTCAGAGGCTCAACTGAGTGAGCCACCCAGGTGCCCCAAGATGATACTTTTATTAAAGGATGTGTAACATGAGTAATTCGGGGGATTGCACGTTTGCCTGCTTCTTCATTAACAAGCTGATCATCTTACCTAGTTCAATTCAGAGTTCCTAATGTAACTTATGACCACGATTTTATCTGTGTAATACATTGTGAAAAATTCTGCTATAGTGAACCTTCATAGTTCATTTTAACGTTTGTAATGCCATTATATGATATTAAGGGTCATGTTGAACAATTTCTAAATTCCCAATTGGAAAGAACTTTTTATCAGTTTAATACATTACTTTTGAAGGTTTTTTTTTCGATGTAAACAAAAACTATACCTCTTTTGGTTTATACCTACCAAGCATAAATAATTGAATAAAGTGCTATGTTTGTGATAATTTGAATAACAAGCAGTTTTGAAGATTGTCCTCTAGAAAACGAATCTTTGTTGTAGGTGCATTTTATTTTATTTTATTTTATTTTTTTGGTGCTCAGCGGAATGCTTGAAACTCTTTAGGCACTCAGCATGCTGAATGGATATAGAAAAAAAATTGTGGATGAATGGCACATTGCTATGCTTCTGCATTTTTTTGGTTTTTTTCATGGTTTAAGACCAGTAGTAAAGATGAAGATAAATAGCCTAATTGTTCAACATTTGTCAATGGGTAGCTGAAACACGCGTCTAGTCTCTGTAGAACACGTCAGCATGTTTTCTTTCTTTCAGCTGTGCACATCGAGAAGATAATGTTGAAAGGAGTCCAGAGAAAAAGGGCTGACAAATATTGGGAGTACACCTTCAAAGTAAGCCCCTCTTGCCCCCAACAGATGTCCCATGTACTGTTAAATGACCTTGTGGGGAAAAATGAAAAATTGATCTTTGGAAAAACTTACAGTGGGTTTGCTAATTTAAGAAGAAGCTGTACGTATACGTAAGTTTGTCCTTACTCAGGGAATGTACTGTTTTCAGTATGTACTGCATGGTTTGCTGAGTTTTTAATTGTGTCACATTGAAATTACTCTGATGATTTTATTCAAAATAAATAAGAGCCTTCAATTTAAGGTGGAAGTTGTGTCTTTAAAAGTAAAAGTAAGCATTTTCACTAGTATTTTTTAAATCAAGATCACGGGCATTGTCTTTTCCTGGAATGGTTTTTCCCTGATACTTTTCTCTTCCTCTTCTTTCTCCATGAAGGTTTTATTCCCTGGCCTTTGTTGCCTTGTCCTCTCATCTCTAATTGCTTTCCTGTCATGCTGTCCTTCAGACAGCTGTCTAATTAACCATAGAGTCCGGCTCTGTTACTCCCCTTGTCTCCCTTTTGCCTGTTGACTGTAATGTGGATTCCTTGTCCACGTCTTCCTTATTCCTCCCTGCTTGGGCTTCACTGTCTGGCCCTTTCTCCTGAGGTTGGACTGAACGCCTTGAAGCCAAACGGACCGACGCCACGTTTCTGTGCTCCCTCACTTCAGTTCCTCCCCAAAGGTATTGCTTGCCACACTTTAGCTGTACCTTTGTCACCAAGTCATTTCTGATCCTCCAGCAGAATGGGTTTCCATTCATTCAAGGCATGCCACCATCATAAATTTTCCAGACTCTTCTATTCGGGTTACATGTTTTTCCTCTCTAGTTGGTTAGTATCTAATGGAGAGCAGGAATCTTCATCCTCCGTCATCCCGCCATATCTGACTTGCTTAGTATGTTTGGTGAATGAATTTCAGAACTCTGGCTTCTGCTTTGTGGGAGACGTATCCTCAGTTTACAAATTTTAAATCCTTATCTCCGAATGTTTTACTTAACCTTTTTGTAACGCATGGCATAAGCCGCCGTGCTCTCTTCATTCAGTTACACTAGCTCTCCTTTTGTTGCTGGAGCTCTTAGCTTGTTCCTTCCTGAAAGCCTTTTTCATCCCCAGCTTAGCTCTGGAACAGTCTTCCCCAGACCATGGCACAGCTCATGTCCCTTCAAGTCCTAGCCTGGCTTAAACGCTCCCTCCCGTGAGGTCTTGCTTGGCACCCTTCTGACGTGCTGTCCTGCTCCTGTGCCACGCCGTGTTCATTGTCTCTGGAGCCCTGCTCACTGATGGGAATTCTTAAATATTCATTTGTTGTAATGGGTCTCCACGAATTAGACCCTGACCTCAGCCAGCAGAGACTTTGGCCATCTTGTCCCCTCCTGTGTCCCTTTCACTGAGAACAGTGTCTCACATAAGTAGCTGCTCAACGAACGTTGAATAATTAAAAAACATCTAAAAGATGTGCCAGTTAATAAGGATATTTGCTTTAAGGGTTGGTAGATACAATTTTGCATCTGTTCTTAAATATCTGATTAATAATGGTATGATTACTTGGTGAGCCTTAGGCATTTGCACAGTTTGAGTGTCTACTTGGCTCAGATAATTGTAATGTAGACGTTATCAGTGGACCGTCATCAAGTCCATGAAATTCAAAGTGTCTGAGAGGTAAAATGGCATAATAGATTCCAGTCTGGCTCTTCTGCTCACTTAGGGTCACATCTAAGTACATTAACCATTTTGAATTTTAGTTCCTCCATCTGAAAATGGAGGTAGTCAGACCTGCCCTCCACACTTTAATAGGATTTTAAAGAATTGAGGTAAAGATGAAATCTCTTCATAAGCCATAAATCCCCATAAAAATAATACTATAGTACTTACCACAGAGGAGCAGTAAACTCTAGTTATTTCTCTGAAAAATTTATATGTAATAAGTTCCAGGAGGTACAATTTTTACCTTTCTTGGTATATAGTTTTATACCGTCAAGTATCATCTTAGAGTCCTTCAACTTTCCCTTTTGAAAAATTACTAAAATACAGTCACATTTTTAAAGGCAACTTTTTAAAAGAACCATGCGATTTGAAAGGAATTATTAAAGTTTTTTGAGTAGAGTATGTCAATGTACAGTTAACTTTAACAATTTTGAAGAAATTCTGACAATGCCAGATTAACTTTATATTTCTAATTGTTAATCTTAAGATTTAAGTAAGGCCCTTTGTTTTACACATGGCTTTTTTTCATCTGGTTCCCGCCTAAGAAATAACCATATAATATGTGTGTTTTTTTTAAATCAGGTAAATTGGTCTGATCTTTCAGTCACAACAGTAACAAAAACCCACCAAGAACTACAAGAATTTCTACTGAAGGTAAAATTATAGATTTTGTTGTTAAAATGGTTTTTACATAATATGTAGAACCAAAAACCTCAATATCAAAACAGACACCAAGAAGATTTAACCACGTTATATAAAGGTTGACTTAGAACTCTCCACTGTCTGTACAAAATGTCCTGTTATTCTAAACGTAAATTTTCTTACATTACCGATACAAGGAAACGAAGGATTTTCCACGTTAAAAAAAAAAAAAAGGAACCTGATTCCTGGTTCCTTGCCGAGATAACTATTAATGGTGGCAGCTTGCAAGGGTACTTCTTGTGGAAGAGTGCGTCTGCAAAATAAGTTAGGATTTGTTGTGGTTCTTAGAGGTGACAGCTCTTCGGCTCCGTCTGTGGATTTCCTTAAACACATGTCCATCGATTCCTTCTTTGAGTTCCGGCTTCCCCTTGTGATAGAGACACAGAGTACTGAGAATAAGGGATCGTGGAAACATACAGATTTGCAGAAGTAAAAGGTTTCTTAAGTCATTTTGTTCAAATTCCTGCCTGTTCCTTTGACGCTAATTTCATTTTATTGAAGTGTGTATGGATAGAGCTCAGTTTTAAAAGGAGGAAACAGGTTTAAATGGTTAACCAGTACCTTCGCTATTTTACAATAAGCAAATATATTTTAAAGTTTCTTGTTAATAAGGAGATAGAACAAAGTCCAGAAACAGGAAACTTTCCCAACTCAGTTACTGACTTTTGGGTCAAGGTGTGATGTGGTTATTGAACTTAGAACATCTGAAATTTTCAGGATGGTGCTGGTTTTTAAATTGTGGGTCTCCATTCTTAAAGCTGAAAGAGGCTCTTCGTCCCCAGCTTGCGGAACTTGGGGCAGCGTGGTAGTGCTGGCTCTAAGGAGGACATTGTTGGATGGACTGTCAGTGTTTGTTCCGCTGGAAATACCCAGGGACAGCTTGAATATTTTCCTGCAGCTTACTCTGAACCGGGCCCTCTTGGTTCAGGGACGAGAATGCCTTCTGTTACTTCAGGATAGTGACCTAACTGCGTGTAAAGATGGGAGGGCCGTGCGTTTCCACTTGTCGAAGGTCATAAGCTTGTGAGCCGTCAGCTGTAGACAGCGTGGTGAGGAAGGAGAGCGAGCCGTGGGAGGACCGGGTGTGTGTTCACTGTCTTCAGAGAAAGGAGACGATAGCTCCCCGCTGGCGGTCTGCCTGTTGAAGGCATCTGGGAGGGCCACCCTGGACCACGGCTGCACGTGCACTTACAACATCTCTTCTGTTTATGTCCGACTCTTCCATCTCAACAGAGTAAATCTATCAAGGTTTAAGGGCAGGTCGTCATGAGCAGGTGTCATTTGGGTCAGAGAGCAATGTGCTTTGTTTCTTTTTCTTGTGTTGCCCTTCCCGTGACAGAATTCTAATCTCGATGGTAAGTTGCAGGGATATAGAGGCTAAGGCTGAAATACCTTGCGGTGCCACCCGTCAAGGCCAGTTACCTAACGTGTTAGGGCGGAGGTGCTACCAGCCTATCCCGAGTGGTGCTGAGAGACTTAATGAGAGAGCACATGACCGGCTGCCAGCCTGGGGCCTGGCACCCGGCAGAGTCTCTCCTCTTGGGTTTCCCTAAGCTTTGGCTGGTTCTTTGTCTTGACAGATTTTATTTTTTCAGTCCTGCAATTTTTCTGAAAGCTCAAGTGCTCTAAAAAAAGACAGCCCCCAATAACTGATTCAGTCTTCAGAATCATGGTTATGATCCTCCCAGTTAGCCAACATTTGAACATAGAATTTTTCTAAAGTAGGACAGATGCCATATCAAGTTACCTTAAAAGATTGGCAACATTGTATGCTTCGAGGCTAATTGCCTATTATAAAATATCCCCTCAAGTCAACCACATATCTTTTCACCTTTTTACCTTCCTTTTAAAATCATCTACAAAAGTTAAGAGCAAAACCTGTCCTTTTGATAGCCTGTACATACTAACAACCTTTAACTTTTGTAGATGCTGTTTAACTGCACTTACTGTTTGCTATAATGTGGAAGAGTGAGTTTGAGGTCAGTGCTTTCCAGTCCTTTTTTTCTCCGTGTATATGGCAGCCTCTGTCCTCGCATCCAAGCCCCCTTCCCCTGCTGTTGCTGCTTAGAAACTGCATCTGACACCTGTCTGTTTCTCATTGTGAGAATGGCAGCTCCGTGGAGGCAGGGTTTTTGTTGCATCTTTCACTGCTGTATCCACAGTGCCTAAAACAGTACCTGGGACAGGGTTCGATTTGAATATTTGTTGATTGAATGAATGAGTGTTGAACGAGAAGAGTTACAAAAAGTAAATTGTAATGGGGTTTTGTAGATGGTTCTCCATTAGGCCTCAGTGTTTTTAAAGAGAAGCTTGTAATAGTGAGGAAAAAGATCTTTCAGTAGTCTGAGCTGGTTCAAGGCTGAGCTGGGGCCCAGCTCTGGGAGTCTGGGTACTGGAAGGAAGACCGAGAGGTGAGGAAATTCAGAAGGGACTAGAATAGAAGAGACATGATTTAAAGCTGTATTTTTAGCAAATGTGCCTTCCTCTAGGACTGGAAATAGTCCTTGGAAATTGAAGATAAAAACCACTTGAAAATAAAGCATTTTGCAAATACTGATGACTGCATATCCGCACTCTACCCAATCACATGAACAGTCATTGACTAGGTGAAAATTTATATACTCTTGCCTTCCTGCACTTAGAAGAACCATCAGTGATTCGATAGTGGAAACATAGTTCCCCACTGAAGCAGGTTTTCTTTGGCTGCGTACAGAAATTCAGGAGATATGTTTAAAATGGGCAATATGAAATATGCCTAGTGTCCTTAATCTGTATTAAAATAGTATTTAAGCGTAAATGTTGAAATAGCCATTTTTGGGGAAATGTGTAGATGCAGAACTTGTTTCTTCCTGTTAGTGATCAGAGGACATGCCCTCCACAGTGGTGCGTGGCCAGCAGGGCCCTCAGCCTTACCGGGTTATAAAAGAACCAGGAAGAGCTTCATTCTGACAAAACATCTTGATGCCATAGTCTCACTGCCTAAAATTAGTAATACTTTATGCTGTTGTTGTTAAATTTTCCATTTCGGAATCGTTGACTCAAAACGCTTGTTTGTCAAAAGAATACTTGCTTTGGGTTCTCCAGTTCAACACGTAAACTGACAATTTGTGTAGATTGTTCTGTTCCTGCAGCGCTTTCGATACTGCGTGAATGGCTCTACTCTTAATGTTAGTGAAAGTACCGGTAATCCAGGAGTTCATTGTGTAAAGACCATCAGAAGTCAAGTTTCAAACATCAGAAAGCTAATTTTATAAATCAATTTATTAGGAATTTTAAGAAGCTAGTTAATAAACAGAATGACTTAAATTTTGTTTTTTAAATAAAAACTTTCTTGGCCCAGCGATTATTTTGTGTGTGTGTGTGTGTGTGTGTGTGTGTGTGTGTGTGTGTGTGTATCTGTGGTTTCTGGTCCATTGCTGTGAGGGCACCTTCATCATGTTGAGGGAAAGGTTCCTAACCCTTCAATTAGTGCTTTTTATGTAAGCAGGATGGAGAATTTTCACCCCATGTTTCTTTTTATTTGGTGCATAGCACTGGTGGTCTGACATTGCCTGGGATTCAGATGTGAAACAGGAGGTACTAAGGTGATCACTATAAATACAGGGATAACACTTCACAGAGTACTATTTGAGGATTAAAATAATTGTAGCTACGCTATGCAGAATGTTCCGTTTAACTAAAGAACCTTGGCGTGGGTGTCATTTTCATGTGGCATGTGGAACTTAGAATGTGAGGGATATGCAGGCGTGTCCCAGAAGCACACTGAATCCTGCCGGGGTTATTCTGCACCTTTGCAGAGCCCCGATGTGTGCCCAGAAGGCAAAAGACTTTCCTAGTAGAAAGATCTATGCTGCTTCAGTACGGGGCCTATGTCTTGAAGATGTAGAGAGGAACTGCTTTGGGATGATTACTGAACAAGAGACATTTGTCTCCCTTTATGCCTCTGATTTGTAACATACTTAGCAGTAAGTGAGAAACTTAACATTGGCCTTGCGGTTTTTCTTTTCTAGCTCCCAAAGGAAGTGTCTTCCGAGACTTTTGACAAGACCATCTTAAGAGCCCTGAATCAGGGTTCGTTGAAAAGGGAAGAACGGCGACATCCTGACCTAGAGCCCATCCTAAGGTAACAGTTTGCCTGATGCTGTCACTACAGCATCACAGACAGGTTCGTTGGCAGTGGATGACTTAGAACGGAGTTTGAGGGAGATGACAAGAGATTTTTTCTGTGGAGTACTTTTTAAAATGGACTTTTTATCTACATGTTATTTTAGGTCTAGGCTCACAGCAGGAAACATCAAACTAATTATTTTTATCGTTGGACTTTTTTGGCTCTCTGATATCATGAATAATTGCTTCTAAAATCTGCAGACATTCAGTGAACCTCCTATTTTCTCCATAAAATACTTATTGAAAGGGTTCCTTGTCCAAGAACTCAACTTGGGAAATGTTTTTTGTTCTAAGTTGTCAAGTAAGACGGAAGATCAGGCTAACAGGTTGGAAGGTGAAGGGAAATGAACACTTCCTCGCACGCCTGCTCTTCTGTCCGGTGGCGAGCTTGCAGCGGTGATGGCTCGGCCCGGTGATGGTGTGTCCACGCTGGCTGAGGCCCGGGGGTGGGTCGGCCCCCGGAGCACCCTGCGTGCCCGGGCCGTGACGAAGAGGCGAACACACCGGCAAGCTCAGCAACGGTGGCACAAGGTCCTGTGTGGGCAGGACGGGTGTGGACGTGGGTAAATGTACTTGTTTCGTGATGGGAAGTTGAAGGATCTCTTGCCTAATGGCTTGTATTTTTTTTCCTAAAATAAGAGTTTGCTTAACAGTGGATATAGGGGGGGGGCCGCCCGGGGAGCAAGTGTTTGAGAGCAAAAGGGACTTAAACAGTAGTTGCGGAGGAGGGTGATGAACAACCCGATAAAGGAAACCCCGTAAGCTGGCCAGGTTTGGAGCCCATTGAGTATCAGTAAATGATAGTGGTATCAGTCTGTCGTGCTGTGTGGATTTTGAAAACATCTTGCGAGCATTTCAGGTTCAAGTGTTAGGATAGCAGGTCGTTGGATAAGGACGTTCTTGGATGTGATGAAGGGACAGGTGGGGCAAGGGAATTTAGGGAAGAGTGTGAGGTTTTTGGACACATTCACAGAGCGAAGATGGAGTCTGACCGTAGAGTGAACCGCAGCTGGAGAAGTGGTGTCAGGCAGTAAGCAAGTAAGTAGGCAGACAGAATCAAGTTGAAATGAGCCCGAAATGTGTGGGTTAGGGCGTTCTGAGGTGAGAGAGTTCCCGGTGACTGTTAGAGGTTTGGGGTGTGGTCTCCATAGTGGGTGGTAATTGTTTTGCTCGCCCCTCTCTGAGGGCTTCCCTTTAGGGGAGAGAAATTAAGGAGTAATGGCCGAGGAAACAAATGCTGTTTTATTGGAAACTTGCAGTTATTAGTAAGTAAAATAAGGAAAAGCAACGTTGGAACATCTGTGGCTTTGAGTCAGGGCTTGAGTGGGACTTCCTTTCTGCCCTCTGAGCCGAGTCTGAGACGGCCCAGTGAAGTAGCCTTGCTGAGGCAGAGGTGAGCAGAGATGGGTGTCGTTTAGTATAGTGGCCCTCTGCCTCTGACGGGGGAGGGGGGCACCCGGTAAGCCTTTTCAGGTTGGGTGGGGCTGGGAAGAAGGGGTGAGTGTTTACTCCTCGATGGAGAGAAGCCGAAATCTGGGAAGGAGGTGTATCCATTTGTTCATCGTGTAACAAGGTCCAGGATGTGCGTGTGGAAGTAAATGACTGGAATAAGAGAGGAGATGGAAGACAGAGGTCACTGGTGGAAAGGCAGCCAAGCAAAGAGCTCGAAGGGTTTGCCGCTCACCCACGTGGAGTTTGAAGTCCCCCAGGGCTATGGAACGCTGGGGGTGGAGGAGACAGGCGGGGGCCAAGCTGAGTACGAATGTGGGAACACGACCAGAAGGTAGGTGTGTGACCACCTTGGAAGGTGGAGTGGCTGAAAGGCGGCTTTGAGGGGGTGCCCCCACCCTTGCAGCCCTTGTGAGTGGGGAATGGGCACCCCACCCGAACGGGCCGTGAGGACAGCCAGACCCCAGGGGCTAGTGGGATTTTGGTCTGAATAAGGAGGTGCAGATCTGTTCCTTGAAGAGCCCGGATACGTGGGGCCTCGCAGAGGGCACGGCAGGAAGGTTCAGAGAAAGAACAGGAGCGCTAGGGCGTGGTCACAGCTTTCCAGGGTTGAGACCGGTGAGGGTGGGTGGTGATGGTGAGGAAGAGTTGGTTGAATTCCTGGGTGTCCTGCGCTACTCAGAAGTCATGGGCTTATGCATCCCTGGGGATGTCGTTGAGGTGCAGATTCAGACTACACAGTCCCGCCGTGTGCACTGTCCTGGGATTCTGGTAGGCTGCAGAGATACTCGTGGTCCGTGGAGTGCTCGTCGAGCAGGCTCTCAGACCACTGCCTCTGAAGTGGCTCAGGAGGGAGCTTCTCCAGCTGTGACACTTGGTGGGGGGGCGTTGGAGGGGCATCTGGCAGCATGGACGGGGGCGGGGGGGATCTGCACTGGAGGAGGGAGGGAGGATGTCGAATGGCAGCCTGTGGGGTGTGGGGAGCCACGGAGTATGCATCTTTACGTCTTCGGGAGCAGATCGCTGCGTGCCGCTACCCTGGCTGTGCTGGCTTCAGGGTGCACTTTGTTCCAGCCTGACGCTGCGTGCTGCTAGGCCTCGGGTTCAAACCAAGCTCCTTACCTTGCCCGAGATCCCGCAGCTGACCAGTAGTAGCCTCAGAGTTCTATTGCATACTGCTCCAATTCAGAGTGATAAAATATAATACAATCTTGGTGTGTTACAGTGTTCCATATAGTCATTCAGTGTATTTAGGTAGTTTGGGGCTTTCTTGGTAAATCTGACAACTGCTCGACGTAGAACATTTGGAAGACTACAGAAAAGTAATGAAAAGATGACAGTTATTCAAATAACTTAATATTGGCCTTTTTCATTTTTCCTTTTTTTTTTTTTTTTTTGCCTGTAATATTAGATGTGCAGTTTTCTATCCTATGTTCTCAAATTCTAAGCATTTTTTATTCTTCAAGATCATTTCGAGTGGCTACAGAATATCTTCCCCATCTGGCCGTACATCATTCCTCTGACGTTTTCTCTGTTTTGAGGAAGAAAGACCATTTTCTGGGGTATTTTCCAGAGTTTTGACCATTTTTGTGCCTAAAACATTTTCCAGATTTATGAGTAATTACTGAAGAGAGATTGTTTGAAATTGATTTACTGATTTAAAGAGTAGGATCCTCTTTTAGGATCCCTAGTAACACATATATTATTATTATTTTAATGAAAAAGTTATGTAGGTAGGAGTACATGTTCTTAGTGTTTGAACTTCCTTGTTTATCACAGCTTGACTAGCTTTGAGTATCACTTAAAAAATATTTGCTAATTTGACAGGTGAATGATGATCTCATTGACTTAATTTTCATTTTCTTTATTAGTGAAATTCAGTATCTTTTTTGTAAGTTTAGCCATTTTTATATTTTGTAAGATCATCTGTCCTTTATCAATTTATCTTTTTGAATCTTAGTGGTTTTTACAACTTATCTTTAGTAATATAGTATTTTTCAGTTAGTGATGATTTTTTTTTTTTTTTTAAGTTTATTTATTTGGAGAGAGAGAGAGCAAGCAGGGGAGGGGCAGAGAGAGGAGGAGACAGAATCCCAAGCAGGCTCTGCTCTGGCAATGCAGGCCTAATGCGGGGCTCAAACTCAAGAACTGTGGGATCATGACCTGAGCTGAAGTCAGGAGTCAGATGCTTAACTGAGCCATTCAGTCACCCAGTTAGTGATGATTTTTGAAATGAAGTTTAGAATATTCTGTTAGGTTTGTCAGTCTTTGTTTCTGTGTTTCTGTTTATCTCTTCACTAAAGAAAGTCATTCCTAGGTTGTTTATTAAATGTTGGGTACATCACTGTAGATATATGGGGGGAAAGTTAGGCTGGAACTATGTGTCATTCATTACATCAGAGTTAAATCTAGATGGCTCAGAGATTTAAATGCAAGAAAGAAAACGTGAAATTTCTAGTATGTTTATGAAAAAAATTTTTACTATCATGATACCTAGAAACCATTAAAAATGGAAATTTAAGTATTCAGAAATCCAACTTCTACATAATTTAAAGAACAAAATATACTACAAAGTGAAGACAAACTTCAAATTCAGGGAAAAAATACTTATAATAACTTCTTTCTTATTAAAAAAAAAACCTCCTAAAAATCAGTAATGTAATGAAAACGAATAGTCCAAAGCAAGGGAGAAAATGGGAGCATATATGAACAAATAGCACAGAGAAACTGGACTTTTAGGCATCATTTGAACATATGAAAAGCTCATAATCAGAAATACAAATTAAAACCTTGAGTTTTGATTTTTTAGGTGGCTACTACATTGAAAACATTTTTAATTTAAAAATTTTCTGAATTTAGGGGCACCTGGGTAGCTCAGCTGATTGAGCGTCCGACTTCGGCTCAGGTCATGATCTTGTGGTCAGTGGGTTCGAGCCCTGTGGTGGGCTCTGTGCTGATAGCTCAGAGCCTGGAGCCTGCTTGGGATTCTGTGTCCCCTCCCCTGCTTGTGCTCTGTCTCACTCAATAATAAATAAATATTAAAATTTTTAAAATTTTCCAAATTTAGTTTTAATTGAAATATGTAGTTGACATCCAATATTGTGTTAGTTTCAGGTATGTAACAGTGATTTGACAATTATGTATAATACAGTACACTTAGCACAAATTGTGTAGCTACCATCTGTCACCGTAGGGAGTTATTACAGTATTAGTGGCGATAGTCTGTGCTCTGTTTTTCATCCCATGACTTATTTATTTTATAACTGGAAGTTTGTACCTGTTAGTCCCCTTTGCCTATTTCACCCATCCCTCTACCCCCTCCCCTTGGTAACCACCAGTTTGTTCTCTGTATGTGAGCCTGTTTCTGTTGGTTTGTTCATTTGTTTTTTAGATTCCACATATAAGTGAAATCGTATGGTATTTGTCTTTTTCAGGCTTACTTCACTTAATATAATACCCTCTAGGTGCATCCATGTTGTCCCAAATGGCAAGATGGCATTCTCTTTC